GCCAACTGACTGGAAGAGATCTATATGTGTTGCCATTCCAAGGAAAGATGACCCAACAGAGTGCAGAAATCATCTAACAATATCATTAATATCACATACAAGCAAGATTCTGCTGAAAATTATAAAAAAAATGACTGGAACAGCACATCAACAGAGAACTGCCAGATGTGCAGGCTGGGTTTAGAAGAGGCTGTGGTACTAGGAATATTGCAGCTAATATTAGATGGATTTAGCTAAAAGCAGAGAGTACCAGAGGAATATCTATCTGTGTTTCATCGACTATGCAAGGGCATTTGACTGTGTGAATCACAATAAACTGTGACTTATTCTGAGAAGAATGAGAATCCCAGAACATTTGATTGTGCATATGTGAAACCTACACTTGCACCAGAAGGCAGACATCAGAACAGAGTAAGGAAACATTGCATGGTTCAAAATTGGGAAAAGTGTACCCTAGGGATGTGTCCTATCTCCATACCTTTTCAATCTATATGTGGAACGGATCATCCAGGAGGGTGGGCTCTATGAGGAAGAATGTGGCATCAGGATTGGAGGAAGATTCATCAATAATCTGTGTTATGCAGATGACACAACTTTGCTTGTTGAAACTGAGGAGCAAACCTGAAATCTGAAGCACTTGTTGCAGGAGGTCAAGGACTGCAGCCTTCAATATGGATTGAAGCTCAACATCAAGAAAACAAAGATTCTCGCCACTGGGCCGACTGGCAGCATTATGATAGATGGTGAAGAGATTGAAGTTGTTAAATGCTTTTATTTGCTTGGCTCCACAATCAACACTCTTGGTACTAGCAGGTGGGAAATCAAAAGACAAATTGCACTGGGAAAGTCTGCTGTTAGGGACCTCTCCAGTGTACTGAAGAGCAGCAACGTCAGCCTGGAGAATAAGGTGTGCCTGATCCAGGCCATAGTCTTAGCAATTCCTTGCTGTGTGTCAGAAAGCTGGACAATGACTAGGGAGAATAGAAGAATTGATGCCTTTGAGCTGTGGTGCTGGAGAAGAGTATTGAATAGACCATGGACTGCCAGGAAAACAAACAGGCTCATCCTAGAGAGGGTGAGACCAGGCTGCTCCTTGGAGGCAAGGATTCTGAAGCTCTAACATACTTTGGACATGTTTCAAGGAGGGACCAGTCCTTGGAGAGGGACGTCATGCTTAGGAAGGTGGAGGGACAACACAGGAGAGGAAGACCTTCGAAGAGATGGATTGATTCTGTGACTGGGGTAATGGGGGTAGGTGTGTCAGAGACAATAAGGTTGGCACAGGATAGAGCAGGTTTCAGGGATGTTGTACATAGGGTTTCTATGAGTCCCAAACTATTTGATGGCACGTAACAACAAGCAAAAATACCCTCATTGTATATGAGTTGGAACGAACATACAGACATTTTCAGCTAATTTCCTAAAGGATCCTGGATTAGATTGGTATTTATAATGTAATATTATTATATTATTGAAATAATTAAATATGCATTAAGTGTACAACCAGTATTATGACACAAAAGGCCAACTTGGTGCTTATGAAGAGAATTATGTACATAGATGAGACCTATTTTCCAATAACACACAGACGACAGCATGGGCATGGGGAGATGGAGGGGATGGTGCTGGACCGGCAAGGTTTCACTCAGCTGGACATAAGGTCACTATGAGTCGGAGCCACCTCCAAGGCACCCAAGAGCAATAACATATTCTTACTCATTGACACTTCTAAGCCATAGCTCTAACATGTTAGGCATTTCCATTCCCCATTATTTAAACAAATTAATATTATTATATATATAAAATTTATAAATACAGCCTTCAATGTAGATTGCATCTCAAAGCCAAGAAAACAAATTCTTACCACTGGACTAATAGGCAACATCATACTAAATGGAGAAAAGATTGAAACTGTCAACAACTTCATCTTACTTGGATCCACAATCAACATCCTTATCACCAGCAATCAGGAGATCAGGAAACATTACACTAGAAGGTCTGCAGACAAGTACCTCTCCAAATTATTGAGGAGTAATGATGTAAGTGTGAGGACAAAGGTACATCTGATTCAGGCCATGGTCTTTTCTATCACTTGCTATGCTGGATAATGAACAAGGTTGACAGAAGAATTGATGTCTTTTGAGCTGTGGTGTTGGAGAAGAGTACTGAATATCCACATACTGACAAATGAACAAATGTGTCTCAGAGAAAGTACAGCCAGAGTGCTCCTTGGAGGCAAAAATGATAAAGCTTCATCTCACATACTTTGAGTATGTTGTTAAGAGAGGTTATTCCTTGGAGAGGGACCTTATGTTTGGAAAGTTGGGGTTAGTCAGCAGAAGAGAAGAAAACCTTCAACCAGATGGTTTGATACAGTGACTGCAGCAATGCGCTCTAGGATGTCAGGAAGTATGAGGATGGCAACAGGATAGGACAGGGTTCTGATCTGTTGGCCATAGGGTTGCTATGAGTTGTACTCAATGACACTAAATCACAACAAAAATAGTTCTTAATCTAAATTGAATTCTGAGTCATTAGGATGGGAAATATTTTATTAGTGCAAACTTATGCTTTTCAGGTGTGCACTGGAATTATTTGACCTGCTTGCCTTGGTAATCCATCAAATAAACTAATATTTAACATCTATTCAATAAATCATACTATGTGTTATTAAGGTTTAAACACAAGTTATGTATTACTCAGTGAAATTTGCAGCTTTCATAAGTTGGTAGCAACACTAATTTCACATTTTAAATGACAAATTTTATTTGAATTTGAATAAGGGAGCCTGGTGGCCTGGGCCATAGGTAACCACACTGCTAGCCCAAAGGCCTCACCAGTGGCTCTGGGAGGAAGAGGACCAGTCTCCACCTGTGCCATTTACAGCCACCTAAAAGGGGCTAGAGGGTCAGCAATAAGTGAGTGCCAACTTTGTGGCAATGAGCTTTTTAGATATGATGTTAAGGAAGAGTGGCCTAGTCTGTGCTGCTAATTCTCCACTAGCAGCTCCATGGAGAAAGATGGACGATTTGCAATTCACAGCCTCCGGAGAATCCTCTGGAGGGCCAGCTCTGAGTTGGTCATGACTCCATGGCAAAGAGCTTTCTGGTGGAGCTTTCACAGACAGAAACACTGAAGAGGCTGGGCAGTGTAGTGCTTACCTGCTTGCAAAAAAAAAAAAAGGTTGGCAGTTAGACTCCACCAGCCCATCTGCTAAAGATTTACAACCTTGAGAACTGGCTGGAAGATTTCCAGGGTTTATGAATCTACCCACAGGCAGTGCATAGATACAATGTTAATAACATCAAGACTGGGCTTTGCTTATTACAATGGATTGATTTGCAGGATACAAAACACTGCTTATTACATAACAAAACCTTACATAACCCTACACTGATCCTTTTTTACTTTAAGGGCTCTCTGGCGGTTGCCAAGCTAAAGGCACGGTTTGAATCTACCTCCTCGGGAGAAAGATGGGCAACCTCTATCCATGGGATCACAGCCTCTGAACGCTCACTGGAGGGTCAGCTTTAAGTTGGTTCTGACAGCACATAACAACAGAAGATCTCAGATCTTTTAAAATACCCTTTCAAAAACAAAACAATCCAGAAAGAAATCACAAATAAAGAAGAGGTGAAGTGCTCAGGAACCCCGAAGATGGAGAGCCAGAAGTGGTTTATAGAACTAACAGAACTTTCCAGATCTCGGATTGAGTTAGGACATACCTCGTCAGACACCTACACAACCCAGGGCCCGACACCTTGTTTGGGAAACACTGCTCTTTAGGCATGCCATGTCTTTCTCTAATTTTTCTTTATTTGCTCGAATTCCCATGGAAGTCCTCCCCTCCTCCCTTCCGTGTATGTGAAATAAGACAACAGTTGGCATCTGTAATTCACAGCCCATGAAATCCTAGTTTTTACTCATCCCTCGGGCAGTTGAGTGGTTTTTGAGTGTTCTGTTGCTTCTCCCTCAGCAGTGACTTCCAATCGCCAGCATTTTAGCAGCAGAAAATGCTGTGTTTCGTAGGCACACATCCCTCTTGATAACGCTACCTATCTTCACAGTCGTGCTTTCAAATTGCTGAAGATTTTAGAAATTCCATCTTCTCAGCGTATGAAATATTAAGGGACTCCTGCAGATGCCTTGAGCCTTCAAGTTGTATTATGCAGATCTGCACGAGCGCGTTTCCATGGTGCAGAGGAAAAGGTAGGATAGAGCTGGTTGGGTTTTTTTATTTCTAAGAAGCATGACTATAAATGTCACTCCTGCCACTGCCGTTCACAAGGGCCCACTTGCTGTGAAATATTTTGAAAACAGTGCTTAAGTGGAAATAACGCAGAGACAAATAGACGGAAATAAGAATAAACTGAGCGTGGCTGGCAGAAACCCTGAGCTTGGCTGTTTCTGGAAAGGAGGAGGCTCGGTGAACGTGGCGCAGAGGGGGAGGGGCACCTCAAAACAAAACATGGTGCTGGATCTGCTGCGGGGGAGAAGAGAGTGCCCCCAAAGGCGGAAGAAGCGGCCTCGCCTCGCCGTGGCAGGGACTGGAGCTTCCTCACTCCTGTCCCCAGGGAGCTGTGCCTTTTCAGGCCACAATGCTCGCGACCCAAAAATAACTACACAGACGTAAGGAAGAGGGCCAAAGCCTGCGGCGCAGGGCGGTCCTCGGTGACAGACCTATCGCTCGCAGCCAGAACTCGCGAAACCGAGCCCAGGCCAGCCTTTTATAGCGAGTTCCTCGAGCCCCGCCCTAGCAACCGCTCCTAGCAACGCCTGGCCCTCGGGCTCTTATCTGCCTCGGCCAGGCCCTTCCTGTTCCCCTTCCCCCGGGGCGGCTCGGCTCGCGTGACTTCCCCCACAAGGCGGGGCGGGGCGGGATAGGCAGAAGACGTGCGGGGCGGGGCTCTGGAGAGCGTGGCTACGCCATCCGAGCGCGCCGCCCTTGTTCTGGGTCCCGGCCTTCGAGTGTTCACTGACAGGTTCTGCGACTAGGCGACATGGCGGAGGCTGGGCCGCTGGTGTGGGTTCGAGGCCCCGGCCCCGGCGGCAAGGCGGTGAGCTGTGGATCGACTCGGTGCTCTGTGCGCACTCTACTTCTCCGGTACTGTCACGATCAGGTGAGGGGCGCGGCCTCGAGAAGGTGATCGCGGTGGATCAGCCAGGTGTCTGGCTGTCTGGGAGGACTCTTGATTTGAAGAGGTTCGGACGGACACTGAGGCCGCCTTGGTTGTGACGGTGGTTCCTTTGTCTCTCTTTTTCTCCTGGGAGAATGCAGGACCCGTGTACTACTAACACTTGAGGTCTCGGTTTCTTCCTCTGTACCGGATGGCCTTTAAGGTTCATGGCCTCACGATGGACACGTAACGGGCATTTTGCGCACTAATCACATGCTGTCCTCTTCACCTTGGAGAAGTGTGTTCTGTAGACTGCCCAGGCTAAACGATGGAAGGAGGACACGACGCTGGTCGTGGTCTAGGAATTCCATGGGTTCTGAAGGGCGTGAGCCTTCTTTGGGTCTGAGATGCTTTCACTGATCCTTTCACTTGTCCATGCATAGTTTTTTAAAAACCTGTCAAGGACTTCCAATAGGTCTTATGTGATTTCACTTGATCCTCAAATTAAGCAGGACTTTACCATTTGTGGTTGATGGACTTGGTAGTCTCCAAATCTATTTTAAACTTCGTTTATGATATAATACTGTTTTTCTTTATAGCCACACCTCTTAAATGCTATTCAGCTTCTTTCTTTTGCTTGTTATTTATAAATTTAAGAAACGTTAATGATGTTGCACAGTCTCTATCAGTTCTGGGGAAGACTTGAGCTGGTTCCAGGACGAAGCAGGGTGTGGTTTGTGCACATTTGCAATGTTTGTAAGTGTGGTTTTCCAGCTTCCTCATTTTTCTTCCTACACTGCCATCCAGTCTCCTGTCAGCAGCACCATTTATTATTATCTGGATGGGAAAATATTTTCCAAGAAAGTTGAGCTTAATATCTTTGAAAAGAACTCATGGGTGCAGTTTTCAGATCTACTGCTGACCCAGAGTGAGGCCAGAAAAGATGGCATCTTAATGATGAGACAAGTCAGTCATAAGAATTTTAAAGTGAAAAGCAAGAAATTGTGTTCAGTCATGACCAAAAGATATGTGAATAAAAATACCCTTTTATAAGCGTATTTGATGAGGTAGGTACTGGAATAAATAAAAATAGCTCAAAGTCTCACCTCCACTTTTTAGAAAACACTGTCCTAACACATGATAGAGTTAGCTCCTTCTGGGGAAGTGAAAAGCTACTCTTCCAGTCCTCAGACTGACACTACAAACAGTTAAAACCTGCTGAAAAGGTAATAGGAAGCTCTGATACAGGACATGTGGAGTGGTGAGATGCCCTAATGAGCTTGAGAGTCTACTGTTTTCTTACAGAGAACCTTGCCTTTACAATCATTTGCTTGCTATTGACTGTAAGATATTTTGGCAGTTTGAAATTACTGCAGTAAGAATGAAACATTCTTTCTTGCATTGAGGAACTAAGTAATTTTGATACCCAGAAGCACTGGTGATTTCCAACCCAGGTGCAGAGCTTCAGGATAGTGGTGTCTGAACACATCTGCTCCATACTGATCTTTGCTTTGTGGTTGTCAAGGAAACAGGAGCTTTTATTCACTTCTCAGTCCTTACACTTAACACTGCTCCTTTTATACACAGTTGCGCATTGTTTTGACATTGCTTCATTTAAATTTCACTTGAACTTAATTCTGTTTCAAAATTGTATCATAACTCTTCTCATTTGTTCCTGAGATGTTTCTTCTGGTGTATAGCCCTCCCTAGTTGTTGGGTTCAGGCTTCTATATGTGTATATATATATATGTGTGTGTGTGTGTGTGTGTGTGTGTGTGTGTGTGTGTGTGTGTGTGTGTATATATATCTTTACAATTAACTAGTAGCTAAAACAGTTAAATGATTCTAAATCCCTCTGCCACAGTTCTGTACCACTGAGTTGGAACTAACTCATAGTTGACCCTCCAGTGGGTTTTCAGAGGCAATAAATCACATGAGAGGAGATTGCCCATTTTACTCCTGTGGAGCAGCTGGTGGATTCAAGCTATGTACCTTTGGGATGGTAGTGCAGTTCCTTACTACTAAGCTACCAGAGATCCCCACTGTTCTGTACCAAAGAGTTGGAACTGACCTATAGCTGACCCTTCACTGGGTTTTCAGAGGCAGTCAAATGCACAGGAGTTGATTGCCCATCTTTCTCTGCAGAGCAGCTGGTGGTGGATTTGAACCGTGTACCTTGCATTGGCAGCACAAGAATCTTAACAAGGAAAAAAAATATTGCCATTGCCTTCGAGTCAATTCTGACTTGTAGTGACCCCATAGGCAGAGTTAGGACCACCCTGTAGGGTTTCTCAGGCTGAAAATCTTTACAAGAGACTGCTGCTTTTCCCCTTGGGGTCTGGCTGCATCTGAGCCCAGTGTAATATTCTACCTGACTGAGATTTCCTAATAGAGAAGAAGAAAAAAGCAGTTTATGCTTTTGCTCCAGAGACTGAAGGTTCTTATGTATGTTATGGTCAGATAATATTGGGCAGTGGGGGATTATACCTAGAATGCATCATAAAGAGTGACTTTTTCTTTCCGTATTTTCAGTTCAGTAGCTACTTACTGAATTAACAGTGTTTGCTTGTAATTGGTGATAAAAAGATAAACTGGATGCTTTACTAAAGAAGCATGTATTATCTTACAAAAAATGATTAAAAATAAAATTTGTCTTTAGGATGTTCCTGAGGAATACTTCTTTGTGAAATGCAATGGAGCACTTGTCAACATTAGTGACACTGTGCAGCATGGAGCTGTTTACAGTCTGGAACCGAGACTCTGCGGTGGAAAAGGAGGTAGGGGTGAATGCTGACTGCTCAGTTGTATCCTCTGTAAACTTTATCCATCGATGTTACATTAACAAGCTTGTCTCTGTATTATACCAGCCTTGTTTTGCTTTGTGCATTCTCTTTTTAAATACTATATGATTCCCTTTCCACCCTCTCCTGCCATATATTTTACTTAGGCTTTGTAGCTCCATATGGAGATGTAACCCATATTGAAGGATATAGTTTTTGATCTTCACTAAGTGCTTCAAGTCTCTTGTTTTTATCAAGCAAGGTTGTGTCATCTGCATGATATGTAGTTTGTTGCTGAGTCTTCCTCCAATCTTGATACCCTGAGATGAATTGACTGAAGCATTGGGCTTGAACATGGTGGAGATAGTGGGATGACAGCCACATATTGTAGTTCCAGAGAAGGCCAGAAGCCACCTTAGGAAATGCAGGCTGACTCCAGTTGGGTTAGATTGGGGTCTTAGCTACAAAGAGAGAAAAGAAGCTGAAGGCGTAAAACGGAGGATGAACAGTTCTCCGGCTTTTCTGACGTGCTCCTGGACCATTATGCTGCTCCTCCAGCACTGATTGAGCTTGGTTTGTGGAGTGCTCAGAATGTCAGCAGCCTGCTGTTTGAAATGACAGGGAAGAAGGAAGAGTGCCATCTCAGCCAGTGACAGCTTGAAATGGCCTTTCCTTTTAACCCAGGGTGGAATCTCACTCTATAATTTTCAAGTTCTTAATGGGAATCCTGGCTCTCTGACCCTGGCTAACGTTTCTGACACATCCATCTGTGCTAGTGTAGTATTTCAGAAGGAAAAGGTGAAGGGCAAAAGACATTATCTGGAATCAAGCTGGCCTATTGTTTCTAACTTTGCTTCCTGATTTAGAACTTTGAGATCCATTTCCTTAAAAAGAAAAAATAAATAAATACATGGAGAGCGAATCAGTCTGTGACCTTATGTACACTAATGTTTGCACATGTGCAGTGTCTGTCCCTCCTGGAGCTCTTCTCAGCCTGTCTTCTCCCAATGTGCAGGTTTTGGCTCTATGCTCAGAGCCCTCGGCGCGCAGATTGAGAAGACGACCAATCGCGAAGCCTGCCGGGACCTCAGTGGACGGAGACTACGAGATGTCAATCATGAAAAAGCGTAAGATACTCTCCTTTTTTTTTTTTTAAAATTTTTATTTTATTATTTTGTGTGTGTGTACCGTCAAATTGGATCTGACTGGCACAGGAGAAGATTGCCCCTCCTTCTCCAGCAGAGCATCTGGTGGATTTGAACCGTGTGCCTTCAGGATTGCAGTGCAGCTTCTTGCCACTAGACCACCAGAGCTCCCTGATACTCTCCTTTTGACATTTTTTTGAAGACACATTCCTTCCCACCAGTCTTGTTTTTACAAATGTTGTACATATCTAAAATGAGAGTATTAATTTGCTGTGCTCTAGGGAGCTCTGGTGGCCTAGTGGTAAGGAGCTACCCTGCCAAATCAAAGTTATGTGGTTTGAATACATCAGCTGCTCTGGGAGAGAAGGATGGGTGGTCTTCTCCTGTGCAATTATCCACCTCTGAAAACCCACTAGTGGGTGGTTCAGCTATGGGTTTTTTTTTTATTTGATGGCACAAAACAACAACATACATGTACACACATAGACATGATGTGCCCATTGAGATGTCCCTCTTCTTCCCTTCCCTCTAGAATGGCTGAGTGGGTCAAGCAGCAGGCTGAGCGAGAGGCTGAAAAAGAGCAGAAACGACTGGAGCGCCTGCAGCGGAAGCTGGCGGAGCCCAAGCACTGCTTCTCCAGCCCCGACTACCAGCAGCAGTGCCATGAGATGGCTGAGCGCCTGGAGGATTCTGTCCTCAAAGGTAAGAAGGTGGCCTTCTTAATGTGGTCAGCAGCCACCCCAAGGTTAATCCCAGGCTCTTCCACCAGGCACACAGAAAGCCGGTTAACATGTTAACAGTTTATAGACCTCTTTGGGGGTCTTTGATCCAGGTGAGTGCTGCCATTGTCTCCTGTAAACGGTGAACCCCAGGTGAACTCTGCTGGTATAGTCCATTGGGCCTCATGCTGCTAACCCTAGCACAAGCTGCATGCCTACAGAACACCTGTCAGACAACCCAAGTTAGGGGGCCTGGACCCCACATTAGAACACTCTGTTTTACGGAGAGAATTTAAGTCTTCTTGAGTTATCCAGGCACAGTGTGTTTGCTGCCAGTTTTAGGTCAATTTTTCAGTGGTTTTTGACACAAAGCTTTTTTCATCAGAAAGCTTAGGACTTACAAGAAAGCAAATATTTAGCACAAGGTGATGAATTATTAGGTTTGTGAATCTGTCAGCCTCAAGGTTATACACTTCAGATGCTGGTGTGTAATGTTCTCAGCTTTGAAAGTATGGTTCCATCCACGAACATAAAGCAGACAAACAAACCAGAAAATAATGGGTATTGATTAGGATATTGCTGGTGGGAATGCAAAATGGTAAAACTGATTTGGAAACAATATGATAGGTACTAAGAACACCTAAAAATAGCTATTAGATAACCCAGAAATCCCGCTCTCAGATGTGTATCACTCTTGGCTGTGTGCCACTCTCAGGTGTGTATTCTAAAGACTTAAGACAGTGTTACAGCATTCGTGGCAGTGCTGTTCACTGTAGCCAGAGGATGCACAACCTGAGTGCACATCAGCAGATGAATTAGTAAGCAAAATGCATATATACTTAGTGCAGTGCTACTCAGCCAGTAAGAAAAACAAAGTTTTGAGACATGCTACAGTGTGAATGGTGCTTGAAGACATGATGCTGAGTAGAATTAGCCAATAACAAAAGCATAAGCATTCTGTAATATCATTTCTATAAAAAAGAGAGGAAAAGATACCAAATTAGTGGTTGCTAGAGGGAGCAGGAGCACAGAAAATACAGGATTGAAGAAGAGGAAACTGGTGATTATTGTAATTGCTGTCAATTGCTCATACACCTGCGAATAGTTGAAGCAGCAACAAGTTATAGGGAGGTACATTTATAGCAATAACAGAACAGTAGCTGCTGAAACTGTGTAACCAAACAATAAATGAGATTTAGTTCCTTATTTGGAGGTTTGGGGTCTTGGCTTTATGAGAATCTGATTTACTTAGCCTCATGTTTGGTGCTTCTGTTCTACCTCCTAGTTTGTTGAGTAATGACTGGGATTTTAAATGCTGTCCAGAGGTCATCCAAAACACAGTTGGTTTCCATTCACCTAGATCAACATGGAAAGGAAAGTTGGAAATAAGAGGAGAATATGGAATATGTGGCTAATACGTGTCTCTGTGACAAACAGCCTCCTTTACTATGACAGCAGAAGAACTGGGTAGTGCTTGATACCAAATGTTTTGATCAAAAGGAAGAAAATGAAGATCAGAACTTCAGATTTGTACAGATTCTAGCACCATAGAAAGTGAATGAACCCCTGAAACTACTGCCATTTAGTTTGAAGACTACTCTTTTAACCTTAAACCAAAATATCCCCTGAAGTCATCTTCAAGCCAAAACCATAATTCAGCTTAACTACTTAAAAAAAAAACTGCCTTGAACATTGTGATATCTTTTACAAATTTAATGTGCTTTCTTTTAAGAACCAAAATACAACCTTGAGTTTATTCTACCTGAATTTTAAAATAGTCTCAAAAACAGATTGGTGCATTGAACACTAATAATCAAAGACCAGAGTATGGGATGACATCAAGGATATCAGAGTCGAGGAAAGCAAAAGATCAACAAAAAGAAGAAAGAGAAGGGAGGGAGGGAAGGAAGAAAAGAAAGACCAAATGTTAGAAGAGCCTGAACAGAAGCTAAAGTGAAAGGAAGAAATGATGAAGAAAAAGGGCTGAACAGAAGATTTCAAGGGGCAGCTTGAGAAAGATAAAGCAAATTACTATAATGAAATGTCCAAAGACCTGGAGCTAGAAAACCCAAAAGGAAAGAACACACTCAGCATTTCTCAGACTGACAGCATTGAAGAACAAACGCAAGCCTTGAGTTAAAATGCTAAAGGATTCCATGGGGAAAAGACTGAAAGACACAGGAAGGATCAAAAGAAGATGGAAGGAATACAGTCACCGAACCAAAAAAGAAATGGTTGACACGGAACAGTTTCAGAAAGCAGCACATGGTCAAGAATCAGATATTGATTAAAGAAATCCAAGCTACACTGAAGGCATTGGCAAAAAAAAGAAGGGTTCTGGGAATTGGTGGAATATTGGTTAAGGAGTTTCAGCATATATTTGCAGCCCTGGAATTGCTCTCTCCTCTATGCCAAGACATAAAACATTATCATTCTATCATAGACAAGGAAAATCTTGCTGAAGATTATTTTGTTGTTATGTGCCGTTGAGTCGCTTGCGACTCATAGTTATGAAGATTATTTTAACATGGTTAAATCAGTACATGAAGAGGGAACTGCTAGTGGTTCAAGCTAGATTCAGAAGAGAGTGTGTGGAAGGAAAGAGATCAATCGTAATGTCATAAATCTTGGCTGAAAGCAGAGACCATCAGAAGGATGCTTACCTGTGCTTTTTTGACTTTGCAAAGGTGTTTGATTATCTTAATCATCACAAGTTATGGATGAATGAGAATTCCAGAACACAGTTGTACTCATGTGGAACTTGGAAATGAATCAAGAAGCAGGCATTCTGACGGAAAAGATACAATGTATGGTTTAAGAACAGGTGTGCTCAGGGTTGTATCTTTTTACCACACCATTCCGTTTGTATGCTGAGCAGATAACCTGAGAAGCTGGACTATGTGAAGGAAATAGGGGCATCAGCATTGGAGGAAGACTCAACAACAATCTGAGCTTGCTTGCTGAAACTGAAAAGGACCTTAAATTCTTACTGAAGATCAAAGACTAGCCTACAGAATTGATTATACCTCTCAACTTCAAGAAAATAAGATCCTTTATGGCCATACCAGTAGGAAACATCATACTGATGTTGTTAGATTCCATCAAGTCAGCTACCACTCACAGCAACCCTGTGAGCGGTATGTCTGAGCTGTGCCCTGTCCTGCACCATTCTCATGATCTCTACCCATTATTGTAGTTACAGTGCCAGTTCATGTTGGTAATGGTCTTCCTCTCTTTCTGACCCTTCTCCTTTCCAAGCACGGTGTCTTTTTTCCAAGCATTAGTCCCTCCTGACAACATGCCTGGAGTACAGTGAGATAAGTGTCACCATACTTTCCTCTAAGGAACACCCTAGTTGCGCTTCCTCCAAGGCAGGCTTATTTTCTTGGGCAGTCCATCGGATATTTAGCACTCTTCTTCACCACAACTCAAAGGCATTGATTGTTCTTCTGTCATCCTTATTCATTGTGTAACCTAGATGCATAGCAAATGATTGAAAAGACCACAGCTCAGATCAGATGCACCTTACTCTTTAAACTGACATTATTACTTCGTTTATTTTTTTTAAATGTTAATTTGTGTTTTATTGACTATGCAAATGTGCCCATTTTGCGATTGAGTTCTTTGCTCACCCCCCCCCCCCCAGTTTTAATGAAAGTTTACAGAGACTTACTTAGGGTTTCCAGTCATTCATTGTTGTGCTTCTCTCCTCCCCATTTCACTCTTCCTCCTTAAAAAGAAAGAAAAGCTCATTATTATGCAATCCCTACCTCCCCCCTCCCAAGTCCACTCCACTCTGCAGCCTTCACTCTGGATTTCTGTCATGACAAGAATACCCATTCATTCATATGTCCCTTTTAAACAGGTCTCTCCCTCATCTGTTTCAATGCAGTGTACTTCATTCCCCCCATCCTTTTCTGTCTTCCCTTAATCCTGGTGTCAGTCCCGTTTTACAACAGTGGCACTATGCAATATTTGTCCTTTTGTGACTGAGATATTTCACTCAGCATAATGTCCTCCAGGGTCATCCATTTTGCATAATATTGCATGAGTTCCTTGTTTTTCAATGCTGCATGGTATTACATCATGTGAATATACCAGAGCTTCTCTGTCCGTTCATTTGTTGATGGCCATTTGTGTTGTTTCCAGCTCTTTGCTATTGTGGACATTATTACTTCTTAGTACTTTAGCAAGGTCCTTGATAGCAGACTTTCCCAATGCAACAACGTATCTTTTGATTTCTTGACTACTGGTATGAAAGGTTTTGGTTGTGGACCCAAATGAGATGAAATTGTTGGTAACTTAAGTGTATTAATTCAGTGTATTAATTGTTGGTACTCCATGTGTTAATCTTGCCTCTTGGCCCCATGGTGAGAGTTTTCGTTTTCTTATTGAGGTGTAATCCATATTGAAGACTACGGTCTTTGAATTTCTGTGCCAAGTGTCTCAAGTCCTCCTCACTTTAAGCAAGCAAGGTTTGTGTTATCTGCATAGCACAGTGTAGTCTTCCTCTGGTCCTGATGCCACATTCTTCATATAAGGCAGCTTCTCAAATTATTTGTTCAGCATGCAGATTGAATAAGTATGGAGAAGGGATGCAGCCCTGAGGCAGACCTTTGCTGATTGTAAACCAAGCAGTGTTCCCTTGTTCTGCTCAGACTCTGCGCTATGATCTCTGTGTGTTTCACATGAGTACAGTTACGTGTTCTAGTATTTCTATTCTTCTCAATGTTAGCTGGGATTTTTTATAATCCACACAGTTAAGTGCCTTTGCATAGTCAAAAAAACACAGGTAAACATCTTTCTGGTATTCTCTGCTTTCAGCCAAGATCCACTTGACACCAGCAGTGATATGCCTTGCGCCGTGGTCTCTTCTGAATCCAGATGAGGCTGCCCTTGTTTATTGAAACATGCCAGTCGATATTCCATCAGTTCCTTGGGCCTTTTTTTTTTTTCTCTTCAGTGCTGCTTGAACATCTTTCATTGCCATTAGTTCTTAATTGAATTCTGCTTCCTGAAATGTCTCAGTGTCTTTCAGTTCTATTTGGCACAGTGACTGTGTGTATTCTGGCTTCTTTTGTTGCTTGCTGTGCACAGTTCATGATTTTGCCCAGAGAATCCTCTAGTATTGCAGCTCAAGACTTGAATTATTCTTCACTTCTTTCAGCTTGAGAAATGCCAACCATATTCTTTCCTTTTGGCCTCCCTCACTCCAGCCCTTCATGTGTTTTGTTGCAATACTTTGCTTTATGTCCTCGAGCTGCCTTTTGACATCTTCTGTCCATCTTTCTTTCTTTAGCAAGTCTTCCCTTATCTTGGCCTCTACGTGGCAGAGCTGGTTTCAGGGCCCTGTGACATCCACTTTGGCCGCCTTCACCTGTCCTTGTGTTGACCTTTCATGTTCTTTGTGCTTGCTGATGCTCTTGGTGTCATCCTCTGGGCAGTAGTGTTCAGTTACCAAATCTATTCTCAAGATGGTTTTCACAATGAATGAATGAAAACCCAAAATCTCTGTAAATGTTCATTAAAACTAATAAAATTTAATAATAATTTTTTTTAAAATGATGGTTTTTACAGTCGATTGGAATAGACTCTCAGTGTTGTACTTTTTGGTTCTTATGGACTTGTTTTCATTTTCCTCAGCTTCAATTTAAACTTGCACTCTGAATAATTGATGGTTTATTCTACAGTCAGTCTCTGGACTTGTTTTTTTGGGTTATTTTTAAATGAAATTTTGATTTTACACTGGTTTACTTACACAGTTCATTTACATTGCTTTTCATACCCTTGGCCTTGTTTTGACTGCTGGTACCGAGTGCCTTAGCTCTTTCCATAGTCAGTCAGATTCCTGTGAAGTCCATGTGCATGTGTAGTTACTGGTTGTTTTAGTTTTGTTTTTTGTTTGTTTGTTTTCATTTTTTTTAAATTATACTAGTTTATTTAAAAATTAAAATACATTTATTTTCCAGAGCAGATTCTTCCAATTTCCCTCACCCCCACACCCATCAGATTATATAATATTTGTCCTTGTGGGACTGCATTAGTTCATTCAGCATAATGCTCTCCAGTCCCTCCCAAGTTAGGTAGTAATTTACAAAATCATTGCTTGTGCATGCTGCATATTATTTCACTGTGTCAGTGTGTCATAATTCTTAATCCATTCAATTGTGGTTGGACATCGGGTCTATTTCCATGTTCTTGTAATGGTGAATAATGCTGCTATGAACATTGGTGTTTTAGTTTTTTATAAGGAGGTATTTGCGATCAGTAAATCATTAATTGTACAAAATTCAAGCACTCAATCTCCAGTTTCATTTCTGTCACCAACTCCGTATTTTCCAACCACCAGTCATCCTTCTTTGTTTCCAGCTGTTGATTCCAGTCACTAGTGACTATTAATGCCTCTTGATTGCATACTTGATCAGTTTCATGTGGCAAAAATTGGTAGAGTTCCTCAGTTTCTTTATTTTGGCTTTAGTGGTTGTTGTGTCTGTTTGAACAGTAGCGACCTTAGGAGGTGGGAGCATGCATAGTCCCCTATCACGCTCAGCATTGTGCTCCAGGACAGATACTGCAGTGGTCATTTTGACTGTGAATGCAACACCATTTTTCATATAACGGAAAACCCTAAGAATAACGGGAATGTTGGTCAATGTAATAGCAGAAATAGAGCCCCTTCGATTGGAAGATACTCAAGCAAATCAGGGAGAAGAGCTGCAAACATCCATTAATAGTGGAAACATGGACTGTATGAGATAGGAAGTATTTCCTAGGAGAATTGGATGTTGTCTACAATAAAGTGGAACACACAAACATTGACCTCCTAGGCCGCTTTGAACTAGACAGTCATATTCCAGGAATGGCAAAAGTAGCATAATAGGTGGATAAAAGATTGAAGGTATCAATTTTACTTGAATTTGCGAGCAACTTCCATTAAAGCAGTGATCAGGAAATAAAACAATCTATTGCTTTGGGCCGACATACTGCCAAGGACCTCTTTAAAGTGCTTAAGAGCAAGATTGCCAGTTTAAGATGTTTCTGATCCAAGGCATGGCATTTCCAGCAGCTTCATATGCAAGTGAAATGTGTACGATGAGTAAGGAGGTCTGGGGAGAAAAAAAAAATTGATGCCTTTGGATTGTTGTGTTGGCAAGAGTATTGAGTATCCCAGAGACAAGCAAGTCTGGGAGAAGTCCATCCAGAGGCTCTTCAGAGACAGTGTGGTGAAACTTCTCGCACATACTTTTGAGTATGTTGTCAGGATGGGTCAATTCCAGATTGGAAAAGTGAAAGGTCAAAGATGAGGAAGAAAACCCTCAAGGTCAGTTGATAGAGCTACAGTAATGGGCTTAAACACAGCACAGCCTTTCAGGCTGGCACAGGATGGGCAAGGTTGCCACATACGGTTGCTGTGAGACAGAGTAACTTGATGTTTACTGCACATGTAGTGTGAAATTGAAACAGCACCTCAGAAGATCAGATGCCAACGACGTTGGGCAGCATGTTTGTGTTGAAAGAGGAGCAGTTGAGAAAAGGAGAGTGAGAATGGTTCATAACCCCAAGAATGCAGTCAGTGCCACAAAGTTGTACGTTTAGAAATTGCATCCTTTGTTGTATATACCTCCTAACAATGTTGTTGTCATGTGCCATCCAGTCAGCTGTGATCCTGTGCACAGTAGCTCTGGAGCGTGCCCTGTCCTGAGCCAGTCTCACTGACTAGGACACACCTTCCCTGTTATCCCAGTCACTGAGTCATTCCATCTCACCTAGGGTCTTCCTCTCCTGTGCTGACCATCCATCCTTCCAAGCACGATGTCCTTTTTCAAGGATTGGCACTATATCCAAAGTATCTGAGATGGTGCCTCAAAATCCTTGCTCCAAGGAGCAACTTGGTTTCACCCTCTCCAGGACAAACCTGTTCATTTTCTTGGCAATCTATGGTGTATGTTCAATAGTCTTCTCCAGCACCACAACTCAAAGGCATCAATTCTTCTGTCATTCTTAAGTCATGGTTCATTTCTCTTATGCATAGCAAAAAATTGTAAAAAATCATAGCCAAGATCAGTAGCAAAATAAATAAAATTTAGGAGGAAAAAAATATTCCGGTTCTAAAGCCAGAATACTATTTTAAATTGATACATTTGAACTCATTCTTGTTTTAACTATATAATGTTTTGATAAATTTAAACCTGGATTTATTCTGTTCCTTTTCAACTCTGATTTATGTTCCAAATTAAAGACTTTCTTAGGCTAAACCCAGGCCTTATGGTAGAACTGAGTTGTTTACGTTTCTGGCTAGGTATGCAGGCTGCCTCGAGCAAGGTGGTGTCAGCCGAAATCAAAGAGAGTCGGAAACGGCCAAACAAATCGAAAGCAAGCAGAGGAGCCCGGGCAGAAAAGAGAAAATGCTTTTGGTAAGTTTGATTCATCACAGTTTCACATTGATAGGTGAGGGCCAATGGGTTTTTTTCCTTGTCTGTCTTTTTTTGTTTTTTGGAATTCCATTCATTCATTGTTGCACCCTTCTCCCTGCACAAACACCCCCTCCCCCGTTTGCTCCTCTCCTTGAAAAGCAAAAGAAAAACTCCCTCATTGGTACACAATCCCCCCGCACCTCCCCAAACCCCACCCCCTACCCCCAAATATAATCCACTCTGCAACCCTCATTGCGTACTCCTACGATAAACATAATGCCCTAAAATATAATACTTTTAGACTATTCTCTCCCCCATAGACTTCAATGCCGTAAACATATTTCATCCAGTTTTTCTCAGTCTTACCCCCACCCCAATGCCAGCCTCATTCTACAACAGTGGCACCATATAGCATTTGTCCCTTTGTGACTGAGATACCTCACATGTACTCTTAATGTGATGGAAACTCAGATACTTCTGGGGCTGCAGGTTTCCATCCTCAGTGATTATCACCTTGAACACACTGGTGTAGCTGCTAGAAATTCCTTTAATAGAGACTAAAGGGCTTGTCCCCTCACAGTGAAAGATTATGAAAACATTCACTTGCTGTACACATGAATTACTTTTCAGTTAGAAATGTTAACATTCAGAAATTCCAGGTCATGATGGTCTGTTTTCTCTGGGTTTTTCTGAAATCCTTGGGATCTCCTCTGGTCACTGCCAGACCTCTCGTCAGTCTACTTGCTCTCTCATCAAATCTGTTTGGCACTTGTGGATGAAAAAGCACAGCAGTACTTAATTTTTCCTGCCTGTCTTTCTGATGGTTCTCCTGCCCTTGCTATTTGGTATCCTGGCCAGGTCGCCAGGTCCCTTGGGCCAAGTTCTAGAACACGCTGAATGCACACGGAGCTCTGGTGTTGGCCTCCCCTTCAGAGATAGAAATAGAAATACTGACAATGGATCATAGAACTTTTGAAGTCCAGCAGAATTTTGTATGTTTTCTTAAAGTCAGGTTGATTAAGATGCACAGTAAAATGTATCCTCCTTTGTTGAACAAGTTCTGTGAGTTTTTAAAATACATACTACTTAGCACTGTCACAGGTCCTCCCCCAGGCTGTGGGGCCAGGATTTGGTAGCTGGTGCTGAAAGAAAAGCCTTGGTTGCATCTTTGCTCTGTGACTGTTTGTACCTGTGGCACCTGTCATCCAATGGACAGAGAGGGGAAAAAACCCAGCCATGATAACCACCAGTCAAGTAACCACCATGATCACAAATAACTGAAAGATCCGTGGTTCAAGTCCACCAGCCACTGTGAGCAGAAGGCTGGCTGTCGGCTGATGATTTACGCCCTTGGAGCCCTGGGAGGGCAGCTCATCTCCATCATGGAGAGCTACTGGGAGCAGGGGCTGGTGGGCGGTGTCTTTGGGGTTTTGGACTCCTCTGCAGTTAAACCTCACTCCCCCAGCCCAGCCCTTGCTGATCACTGCCGTGTTGTGTAGCTGAGCCTTTCCCCAACACTGTGTAGTCTCTGACTTCTTAGCATGAAGGCCTGCCTCTGTCATGCTGTGCTTTACTAGGCGGATACAACCCTGTGCACAGTTGCAGCTCTGTGACAGCCTGGCCTTGAGCAGGACTTCCAGGGTCGTTTTCTGCAGCTGTGTGGGTCACATTGCAGTAATCCTTTCAAATCTCAGACCTTACTATAGTACATTTTCATAATGCTATCATACATGTGCGGGGAAAGGTGGACATTCTCCTCACGTGATTTACTGCCTTGGAAACCCATGGAGGGTCAGCAGTGGGTCAGTACCAGTGCAAGAGCGATGAGTGGATGATTGCTTACTTACTAACTAGACTGCGGTGTAAACACAGCTCTCAAGCTGGGAAAGACACTCGTGCAGCTTGCTTCCCCGGATTGGCCTCAAACAGGACCGCAGTGTTTTCCAGCTGTGTCTGTCTGAACTGTATCAGCCAGGCCTGTTTACTGAGGATGACACAGGACAGGGGAGGGTTCAGATCTGTTGTTCATAGTGTTCATGGTTTGTACTCCATGGCACCTAATAACAACAGCCTCCTCTTAAACATCTAAGCAATTTTGCAGCTTGGGATGATTGTGAGGAGAATTTAGAATTTTATTTTTAATTGATTTGCTTACAAAGTTTGTGTACATTGTGTTTCACGCTATTCTTCAGTCACATTGTGTTTCATTAAATCATTCCCATTCATTATGTTTTAACCACTTAGTATTTTATCTAATTTCCTGCAGTTGGACTAATATCCATAGGGAAAGGGAAAGATTTTAAGCAGATTCAGTTTTGCTGGGAGGCTCTCACAGCTTTGAAAGTGAGCATTTGAAAACAGTTGGTTCTCAAAAAAAAACTGGTTGCTTTTTTTTTGTAACAAAAAAACCCTCTTTGTTCTTAACTCTTGAATATCTTTTTCTGAACCTCACTTCTCACACTAGCAGATACTTTTTCACCCAGCCTTTTTCCTGAATCACTGTTTATGTGGAAGGTGTAAATGATGGTAAGCTTTTCTGTCACTTCCGCCAGGTTGGGCATGGATGAACTGGAGCATGTAGAGGGTTCCAGCTCTGAAACCTCAGACGATGACAGTGAGGAATCACCTAGCACTTCAGGATTTGGCTGTCAGCCTCCCAAAACTGGCAGCAATGCTGTTAAGAAGACAGCTGAATGTCTCCGTGATTGTCATAGGCCTGGGGTGCCCAGGATTGACTGTGACCAATCAGGAGAATTACAGAAAACCCCAGCGATTGACACTGCACAAGATACATCTGAAGACTCGTGTTCTGGGCTGGGTAAGGCCTCTCCTGAAGAGCAGGCAGAAAGGAAGATGCCTGTGGAAGCCAAGGAGCCCCAGAAGGACAAGGATAAACTGAGTGACGAGTGCAGAGGAAAGGAAGCCGCCAAGGCTGGACTCAAGGGAGGGGAAGAGACAAATGAAATGACTGCTGGGGAGGGAGCTGCACTGGGAGCTCCTGGGCAAGACAGGGAGCACCCTCCCAGCACCAAGCAGGAAGGAACCCTGCCCGGGAGCATGGTAAGTCATCTTCAGGGGAGGTGTCTCTGGCCAAACCCATTTTATCTCCACCGTAACTCATTAAAATGAATGTAGTCTCTTTGGTAGCTGTGTAGTAAAAAGAGCTCTTTAGTGCTCTGAATAGCACCATTACCAAAACAGCCTTGGATTTTGGTTTTCTTGTCATTCTGTTACCTCCCAGAATTTATACTGTTTGGCCAGTAGCTGGTGCCCTTGTTTCCATCTAGTCCAACCTGCTTGCTTTTCATATTTTAACTTCTCTGAAGTTGGATGTGTATGGATTTCAAAGTCTAGTTTAATTGCCATCGTTGCTTTTTCTTTAATGGTTCAGAAGATCATGAGACATACTTCATACAATTGATGGCATTTTAGATTTGATGAAAATGTCCTGGTTTTTTATCACTAAATCTATAGTCTGTTTTTCTTAAGTAATACAGTTTGGACAGTGGTTTTCAGCAGGATGCAGAGAAATGATAAAAAGAGAAGCTGCTACTTTTAATTTGTAAAGAAATTTCAAGCCTTTTTAAAGCATCGTGTCTCCTCCCTTACATAGTTAATAATTTGCTTCCTTCAGTAGACTGACAGTAGAAATCTTTACTGGCTGCTTTTTTTAAGCTTATCTCTGCTTTTTGGAATAGACACAACCCGATTGCATGGTTTCTCTTGATAAACTCTGAGCCTTCCATTTAGCCATGCCCTTGACCCCAGCAAAAACAGATGTGGTGCAATGGTGAGGGGCTCCACGCTTGGATTTCCCTCCCTCACCATCCCTGCTAGCAGGTAACTTTACTGTCACAAGAAATTAAGACCAAATCCTGACTAAAACATCTTGGGAAAATGAATAAAGGAACAATAGAATAAACCCCGATTTAACTTTTAATGTTTCCGCTTTGAACTATAGATAATTCTTTCTCAGTTTTATAGTAGTAGTAACCTTTGTGTTATAAAAAACCATGTCCAGTTCTCCAGAGACAGCTAAGCATTATTAGGACTGGGCCAGGGATGTAGTAAAGTCTAGCATAATGGGTTTGTGTTTTTAAAAATAATAATAGGAAGATCAAATAGAAAGTTAA